GGGCAGATCTATTTGGGAAGCCAAATAGATTTTTGCACTCCTTTGTTCATTGCAGCACTATTTACAATAGCTGAAATATGGAAACACGTTAAATGCCCAAAAAACAGATGACTGGATCAAGAAGATGTGGTATATATACACATTGGAATACTACTCAGCAATCAAAAAAGATAAACTCATGCCATTTGCAGCAACATGGATGGAGGAGAAAGCAGGGAGCCAAGTGAAGAATAGTCAGAGGTACAGGGGGTGGGACCCTGAGACAGTGGTATCTTGGTTTATAACATGGGTTTTCCTGCTGTAGACATGATGATGGTTAAGAGGACCTTGGCCGACTGAGGGGTGGGTTGGGGGATCTTGGGTGGGGTAGACAGTTTAGCCAGTTACCTTTCTTGCTCTGTTCCCTGGCCACAGACTGCATCCCGACCCGGGCAGCCATCAAGCAAGTGCCCCCCTCTCTGGAGGTGGTGTGGACAGACTGGCACAACTTCAGTGTTTGGCTCAGTGCCTGGCCTGGAACAGTCATTTCACCTATTCTTGTTGAATTGCACTGTTCACCCTTCCTCCAAAGACTGGGGAAAGTGGATGTGTTAGTATCATTTTTATAGGAAAAGCAGCTATGTTAAGATTGGAAAGTTCAAGCACCTTGTTTATAAGGTGTGATCTACTTTACGTTTTGAGAATGAGAGTTTTAGTTCAATTGATTTGTGAACTTTGACAGATTAGTTGTCTGCTCAGGGCTTCAGGTTTAGAATGAGATACAACTAATAGGGGTTTCTGAATGGATTCTAGGGTTGTAATTGATTCTCCTTTCTCTTCCTGAGCATGTCATCCAGTCCCAACCCCGGGAATCTGTTTTCTGTTCCAGTATTTGTAAGAAGTTGTGACAGCACAGCTCTTGGCAGATTTCCTTAGATCTGCCTGGTCCCCCCCATGAGGGACCACAAAGAAGAATGCCTTGTACCCATTAATTTACAAACAAAACAAAACAAAACAAAAACGCAACTCATTCTGTTTTAACTCTCTGTTTGTGATCTGGCCCAAAGCCAGCAAAACCCTGTCCCAGCCAGCCAGGTGGCACACCTCTCAGCTTTGTACCTTTGCACACCCTTATTTTCTTGGTGCTGAGCCCATAGGTGTGGTATTGTGGACTGGGGTCAGGACTGGCATGGAAGGTAGAGCTGCTTCCTGCTGCTGGAGGGAGGATCCTTTGGTGATTGTACTTTCTGTTGTCACTCAGACACTACCTGCACTTGGGATCTCTGTGCTGCCCTTTAATATCATTTCATAAAGCAAAGTAGCATGATGGGTTAGCCTCAGCTTCTGGAGTTTGGGTCCTCTATTACAAACTGCATCAACTTGGCAATCACTTTCTCTGAGCTTCAGTTGCTTCCTGTATAAAGTTGGAAAATGACAAGACAATCTTCATGTGAGGGGCACTCACAAAGAATAAGTGAGATCATCATTTTAAAGAGTCTAGTTCGTGTGCTGACATATTCAGTAAATGTTAGCTGTTTTTTGTAGTCAAGTCCTTCTTACTCTTTCCCCACCATCAGCAGGAGCGGGGAGCTCCATGTACCTTTGTGCAGTTCCCCTTCTCTTAGCGCCTTCTTATGGTGCCTGTCACCCAGAGTGCCATGGAGGGGACACTCATAGGAATCCCTCTTTTCTGCCCGGCCCCTGTCTCTCTCCAGCTGTGTCTAGAAGGCTGCCCATCTGGGCTCCAAGCTCCTGGCTGGTCTTCACCTCTACCTGGTTATCTGGGCCAGGACTAAATTAGACATGGAATGTCTTGGTTTGATGTCTCGGTATGGTTGCAAGAAGCTGCTGCCCGATCAAGCTAGCTGAAGCGAAGAGAAGACATTTATTGCTGGGTTGCTGGGATGTCCCATGAACCCTGAGGCCAGGAAGTGCTGCTGGCCAGAACCCAGGAACCTGGGTGGTGTGTACTTTCTCTCAGGGGCTGCTGGCATCTCCTCTCACTTGCTTCCACAGAAGAGCTTTCTGCCTAAACTTGCACACAAGGGAGAAAGAGGCCATCCCAGCCCAGTTCTAATATATTTTTCAGTTTGCATGTCCAGCATCAATTAGCAAGCTCTTCTGTGTCTTAATTACACATTCCCTGAGGAGAAGCAGATTGGCTTAGCCATACCAAATGCCCACCTTTGATTCATGCACCGAGGA